CCCCGTCATTGGTTCGTGCAGTTGCCGCAGCACAGCCAATGACCGAGCTCCCTCGCTCATTGCTGTATGCTGTGCAGCTGCAATGCGTTTTACATAAAGACTTCAATATTTCTCGAGAAAAGGAGTTTTCCCATAGCGTAAGCTACTTACGCAATACTCGTTCCCTCTTCTCAGGGAACCGAGGTTACGTTAGTAACCGAGTCGTTTAAACTCACCAATAAAGCGCACTCGTTGTTTGGAATTTTTGCGACGAAAAGATGTATCAATTGCGCTACTCCAAGAAACCCATTTAAAAGACGGAGATGTTCATCGCTTTCAAAATAAATATTATAAGACGTTGGCATGCTCATGTGCGCTTAACAAATCTAAAGGTGTCTTAATCCTGTATAAGAGATCACTAAGTTTATCTGTGGATTCAATGGGGAAAGATGATTGTGGGCGGTTCGTATATGTTGCCACTAGAATTAATCATACTAAAGTCCTTCTAACATCTATATATGCACCGAATGTATGTGACCGCCAATTTATGGATACTATTTCTGGAACTTTGATTAGTTTCAATGATTATCAGATTATTTTAGGCGCGGATTTCAATGCTTGTGTCCACCCTGAGTTAGACCGCTCCTCCACTGACTCTGTCGCAACGCCCTCGTCAGTAGCTCTTAATAGCTTAATCGCAGAGCTTAATCTTGTAGACCCATGGCGTATTAAAAATGGTAACTCTAAAGTTTACACATTCTATTCTGCACGTCACAAATCGTTTTCTAGGATCGATTATATTCTGGTTGACCCCTCTCTAGTCCAATACATCAGTACTATTGATATTTTGCCTATTTTGATTTCGGATCATTCACCGGTTATCTGTAATATTACTATAGGTGCTAAAACCTCTAAAGTCAATAGATGGCGCTTCAATACTTCATTATTATACAATATCTCCTTCCTAGATCAACTTAGATAGGAATTAATTATTTTTTGGGAAATTAATTCCCACTGCCACAATCCACAGATGTTGTGGGAAGTTACAAAATGCTTTTTAAGGGGTAATTGCATTTCATATTCTGCCAAAGTCAAGGCCTCTAGGAATAAACGGTCTGAGGAGCTAGAAAAAAAGATTACAGATCTAGATCATCAACAGGCTTGTTCTTTTTCTGATGAGCTTAATAAGGAGCTATCTTTATTGAAAGTAGAATATACTTCTCTATCTATATCCAAAGCTGAGTTTATCATTCATAGAACCAAGCAAAAATACTATTTTAATGCAGATAGGCCTAGCAGATTGCTCGCACTGAAACTCAAAGAGTGCGAATCTAAAGCCGGCATTAATGTTATTAAAACTGACTCTGGTGAAATTACTACGGACCCAAAGGCTGTTAACGATGAGTTTAGATCATTCTACTCTACATTGTATTCTTCTGAGGTCTGCCTCAACAGAGGAGAATGTAGTGATTTTCTCAGTCACCTGAACCTTCCCACTTTACCAATCTGCTCAGGAATTACTGGATGCTCCTATAACCCTGGAGGAACTCCACAATGCAGCTAAATTGTTCCAGAAAGGTAAATCTCCCGGCCCTGATGGAATTCCTCTGGAGCTCTATCTAGCTATCTGGGATATTGTGGGCCCCCTAATTCTGAAGTCCATGAATTATGCCATTGATCATGGTACACTTCATAGAGATCAAAATGTTGCCATCATTACCCTGTTACTTAAAAAAGACAAAGATCCACTAAGTTGTTCTAGTTATCGTCCAATATCTCTGATATCAGCCGACGCCAAGATCCTAGCCAAAGCATTGGTTTTAAGATTGGAACCATATATTGATAATTTGATTCATTATGACCAGACTGGCTTCTTGAAGGGCCGTTTAGCATCGGCTAACATGCGCCGACTATTACACATTATTGATTACGCTCAGACCACTAATGCTACTTCTGCCATTTTTTCTTTGGACGCTCTCAAAGCATTTGATAGGCTTGAATGGGGTTATCTGTGGGTTGTTTTGGAACGTTTTGGATTTGGCTCCAAGTTCCTGAATATTATACGACTGTTATATAAATGTCCTTCTGCTTCCGTATCAACAGGTTTCTATCAATCACAACCTTTCTCACTTCAAAGAGGTTGTCGGCAAGGTTGTCCCTTGTCACCAATTTTATTTGCACTCTCACTAGAACCTCTCGCACAAGCTCTTAGACAAAGCCAAACAGTAACACCTATCTTTCAGACTTAAATACCTCTATACCAGAAGCTTTGCGTTTTTTCAACTCCTTTGCACTATGTCTGGCTATAAAATAAACTGGGATAAGTCATCCTTAATGGCACTTAATAGCATTACTAAAGCAGTATCTCTACCTAGTGGCCTTGTCTTTGCTAATTCATGCACCTATCTTGGTATTAAAATTATGGATTCTCTGTCTAGGATTGCTCAGACAAATTTTTCTAGAATCAGTCAGAAAATTAAGCAGGACATACAGAGGTGGGACAACGTTAAAATGTCAATGCAAGCTAGAATTAGCACGGTTAAAATGAACATTTTACCCAGAGTTAACTTTTTATTTTTCATGCTCCTGTGTTTTCCTCCTCCAAAATATTTCAAATAAATGAATTCATTAATCTCTAAATTCATCTGGGGTGGTAAGCGTCCTAGAGTCAGACTTTCAGTATTACAGCGTGCAAAACTGCATGGCGGTCTTGCACTTCCTAATTTAATGCTTTACTACTTTGCTTTCCAAATTAGGGCCATGCGTGTCTGGGTGGACACTCACTCCAAAGTACCCTGGAGAAGCATTGAGTCTGACCGTGTTCTTCCCCATAGACTTCAAGATCTGCCTTTTACTGGTGTAGGCTCAAGAAGTTTACATCAGAAGTTCGGAAATATTATCCCAGTCACTTTAAAAGCGTGGTTCAATGCAGAAAAGATTACAGGTCACGTTAAAAAAATCTCACGTCAGTCTCCTCTCTGGAACAATGCCCGCCTATTATCTGGTAATCAACCTTTCATTTACCCTTCCTGGTCCTTAAAAGGTGTGTTCACATTTGGCGATATATTCAATGGCAGTGGATTGCGCGCATTTCAAGATATTCAAGCAGATTATTCTTTGCCAGGTACCTCCTTTTTTATGTACCTGAAGTTAAGATCTGCAATGAAAGCATACGGGGTACCTTGGAATTCCAGCCTAGATGATCACCCATTGTTAAAGTGGTTCAAAAATACTGGGAAAATTCAGGGCACAGTCTCCTTGATTTATAAACGACTACTTGAATGTTCATATAAAACCTTGAAGGTATTAGCTGTGTGGGAGAGAGAACTCTCATGGCTGGGCTATAGCCCTGACTGGAATACAGTTTGGTCAAATCTCTGTCTTACCTCCAAAAACCCCTCACACATTCTTATTCATTTCAAAACTATACACAAAATGTATTGTACCCCATACAAGCGATACTTGATGAAACTCTCTTCAAATCCTAATTGCAGTCTGTGCAACAATAACTCTAAAGGTACTTTTTTGCATATGTTTTGGGACTGTACGGTTATATCCAATTTTTGGAAACATGTAGTTCAAGTACTAAAACATATCACAAAGTTGCAGTTTGACCTCGACCCTTGTCTTATGTTGTTGAATGATGATTCTTCATACAACTTTACGTTAGTTCAGAGAAGATTGTTAATGTCTGGTTTCACTGCTGCTAAAAAAACAATTATACAGCAATGGTTCACTCCTGACATGGATCTTAGAAGATTCTGGCTGCTGTCTTTTCATTATATTGCTTGTTTAGAACGCAGCACTGCAAGGATAAATGGGGCTAGAATACAAACGGTTACTCATTGGAGTAGTACAGCCCAAGCTCTAAAAGAATTGTTTTAAATTGATGATGCATTATTCTGTGCTGTAATTGGCTGCCGGGGTTTATTTGTATGTTCCTTTTAAGTTACCCCTCCTTGTGTCCTTTGTGTGTTTGTGTTTTTTTTTTTTCTATTTTATTGATATTCATGCTGTCATCTGACATTTGTAATGTTATTATTTCAAATAAAAAAACAATCAAAAATAAATAAATAAATAAATAAAGGTGACTTGACTTGATTTGAATATCCAATGCACAGCAAATAATTCTTAGTAAGGCAAAAGCACAGAAGAAAATAGTTTACAAATGATTAATTTTTAAATTATTTTAATTGACAATGAGCAGGCCCAACAGGCATTAGTATAAACTGAAAAACATTTTGCTGAAGGTCTAAAATGACTTCAAGGAACAGGTTTGATCATCATCATCGTCAAGGATAAATCACAGATTTCAGTAGACTGTCTGCAGAATGAGGTGGATGTGATTTCAGAGCGAAAGCCTGATCCGCTTCTTCCCAGTGTGAACTCTCACGTGAATCTCATGTGATTTCTGGCTTCTGTTTTTTCTTCCTTGTTCACGTCCAGCACGTCTAAAAGAAACATTAAATAATATGAGATTTCAAATGGAAGACAAACGTAAAGTGAAAAGTGAAGCTTAAAGTCAAGATCACTGATGAGATTAATAGTGATTTTAATCCCATCAAATCTTGTCGACAACTGCTGTGCACGATTATGATCTATTTTAATGTCATGAAGATGATTTGAGTTATAAATCACTAGTTTGGTCATGAATCTCTAGATGGCGCAGCGTTTCCTACACGGCACAAGCTGATTGGCCTCTAAGCAAAAATGTAAGAATTTGTTGACAGACGGGCCTTTCAAACCAAACGTCAATATGTGTTGGACTGAAGTTAAAGCAAATTCATGGCTGTACAATAGAGAGCGCCACTTGCACCGCACATCATAAAAGAAAGAAATAAAATGTTTAAAAGTTCAAAGTCAGAATAATACACTTGGGTTATGTGCTTTAGTCTGTCATATTTTATTCTCGACCTGAAACAATGTAAATCTAGCGAGCATCAGCATTTTCTTCAGCATGATAAATGAATGAGGACTCAAGAATAAACACCAACCTCTTTGTTCTTACGTATCATGAGGTTTCATTCTGCATCACTGGCGTTATCTCTGTCCTCTCCTTCCAGATGCTTTCTGGTAGTTCTGCCAAAAACACAAACAAGTTTTATTTTTAACAGATAAATAATCAATATTTCAGATTTCAGTTTAACACCGTTTGTCCTGTGTCCTTGTAAGAAAGAAATGAGAGTTTAGCTTTTCAGCCATCTTGTCAGCGCTAGTACTTTTATGAAAACAGAAACTGTAACTAATGTGACAGATTTTTTTACAGAGGTGTTCTAATCTTTTCATTACAATGTGAAAAAAGCGGGCCAACCAATAAGTTATGTGCTTTTGGTCACATGTCCAGAGCCACTGCTGTTACATAAAACTACCACTTGATATCTCACTAACAAACTGTGTTACTGACAGCGAATAAAGCCCAAAGTACACTTCAGTTTTTTTATGCGTACGCTAGCTTTAGTACAGTCGAATGCCTTTGCTACGTCAGGAATGCTTTCAGGTCCTTCCTGATGTTAGAGTTTATTTTTATAAATTTGTTTTATTGTTTATATCTGTGTTTATTATTATTATTATTATTATTATGTGAAATTATTATTTTTATTATGTTGTGCATTTATATATTTCTATATTATTTCTATTTTGTTTGAGTATTGTCCATGTGTCAAGTGTTAGTGTCATGATATGTTTGCAGCAAAGCAAATACAAAATTTTTTTTGACGATTTATCTACACCCTAACAAGTGGGAGTCAAAACACACAACTGACCAAATCATATGTGAAAATCATTTTCATGTGGGTTGAACACGAGTTAATAGATACCAATCAACCAACAAATCTTTTTTTTGGCACAAGTTATAGTGGCACACAATCCGTCGGCACATGTTATAGCACACAAGTTATAGTGCACACAAGTTATAGTGGCACACAATCTGTCGGCACATGGCACAAATTATAGTGGCACACAATCCGTCGGCACATGGCACAAGTTTTAGTGGCACACAATCTGTCGGCACATGGCACAAGTTTTAGTGGCACACAATCTGTCGGCACATGGCACAAGTTATAGTGGCACACAATCCGTCGGCACATGGAACAAGTTATAGTGGCACACAATCTGTCGGCACATGGCACAAGTTTTAGTGGCACACAATCTGTCGGCACATGGCACAAGTTATAGTGGCACACAATCCGTCGGCACATGGCACAAGTTATAGTGGCACACAATCCGTCGGCACATGGCACAAGTTATAGTGGCACACAATCTGTCGGCACATGGCACAAATTATAGTGGCACACAATCCGTCGGCACATGGCACAAGTTTTAGTGGCACACAATCTGTCGGCACATGGCACAAGTTTTAGTGGCACACAATCTGTCGGCACATGGCACAAGTTATAGTGGCACACAATCCGTCGGCACATGGCACAAGTTATAGTGGCACACAATCCGTCGGCACATGGCACAAGTTATAGTGGCACTCAATCTGTCGGCACATGGCACAAGTTATAGTGGCACACAATCCGTCGGCACATGGCACAAATTATAGTGGCACACAATCTGTCGGCACATGGCACAAGTTTTAGTGGCACACAATCTGTCGGCACATGGCACAAGTTTTAGTGGCACACAATCTGTCGGCACATGGCACAAGTTATAGTGGCACACAATCTGTCGGCACATGGCACAAGTTATAGTGGCACTCAATCCGTCGGCACATGGCACAAATTATAGTGGCACACAATCTGTCGGCACATGGCACAAGTTTTAGTGGCACACAATCTGTCGGCACATGGCACAAGTTTTAGTGGCACACAATCTGTCGGCACATGGCACAAGTTATAGTGGCACACAATCCGTCGGCACATGGCACAAGTTATAGTGGCACACAATCCGTCGGCACATGGCACAAGTTATAGTGGCACACAATCTGTCGGCACATGGCACAAATTATAGTGGCACACAATCTGTCGGCACATGGCACAAGTTATAGTGGCACACAATCCGTCGGCACATGGCACAAGTTATAGTGGCACACAATCTGTCGGCACATGGCACAAGTTTTAGTGGCACATCAATCAATCCGTCGGCACAAGTTTTAGTGGTACATGACACAATCTATCGGCACATGGCACAAGGTTTAGCGGCGCATTATGATGCTATCTGTCGGCACTAGGGGTGCAACAGTTCACATTGCTCACTGTTTGGTTTGTATCACGGTTTTAGGTTCACGGTTTCGGTACGGTAAAGTATGTGCTATGTTCAGGGGGAAAAAAACACTGTCAAATAAAAAAAGGTAAAAAAAAAAAAAATCTAACTACAAACAATAGCACAAATAAACACAATAGAGCAAATATACTTATAAAATAAACAGGGCTTTTCAGGATATTCAGGCAGATCTAACATTAGCTTTCAGGTACAGAAATGTAATAAAGTAATCAAATGTAAAATAACATTGAATATTTCACTGTTTAAATTAAAGATTAATCCTTAAAAGCTATTCAACCAAGAGCAGTGAGTGATGGTACACGAGACGAGAACACACCAAAAGAGTCAGGACCTCGCTTTAAGTGTAGGGACACAACAATCTGATGTCAAAGAAATAGCGTAATTGAAAGCTGACTGTGTTGTCGCCTCTCATCCCCTACATGTTGGCCAAAAAACACACGCTTAAACACACCAAAAGGACTACAGCCGGCTGTCAACTTGCGTTCATGTAAGGAAGTAGCTCTCTATATTAGCTGGTGTCTATTTTCGTCAATCAAAACATGAAATCAAAACTAGGACTGCAGATATACAAACCGTAAACTCATCTTACCGTTTTATATATAAATCATGCCGATCATTTTTGCCACTCATGATTATTATGAAAATATTTGAGCGATGGAATACTCCGGTAAGATGTCAAATTATAACAGCCTTCTAACTGTACCGTTTTGACTTCTTTGCTCGCTGTTTTGCTATTATTGACTCTTTCACTTAATGGAATAGCCAATCATCTCTCTCACTGAGAGGCCAACGTTGACTTTACATGCCGAATCAGCCGAAAAAACAGAGACTAGAGCCAATGGTGCGGAAAAAAACTAAAGCTGACTTGGTGTGTCCTGGGCTAAACGTCTCAACCGAAGGACGGTGCTTGTTTCAGTACAATGTCCCGGTCAATATACTGAGCTGTTAGGACCCACAGACCACAGGGTGAGCAGCGCCCCCTGCTGGCCTCACTAACACCTCTTCCAGCAGCAGCCCAGTTTTAACAGGAGTCTCCCATCCAGGTACTGACCAGACTCAACACTGCTTAGCTTCAGTGGGCGACCAGTCTTGGGCTACAGGGCGATTTTTCTGTACCTAACTTGCACATAAGAGAATTTGTTTGCTCAGCACATAAAGATGAACTACTAACCGTGATCTCAGACTGCGGTGATGTGGTTTCTCCACCTCATGGATCTTCATGTGTAACTTCAGAAGAGTTTTAATAGTGAAACTCTTTCCGCACTGATCACACGTGTGCAGCTTCTCTCTGCTGTGGATCCTCTCATGTGTTTTCAGATTTGCTGACTGACAGAATCTCTTGTCACAGTGTGAACACTTGTAAGGTTTTTCTCCAGTGTGAATTCTCTGGTGTAATTTTAAACTGCTTGCTGAAATAAAAGTCTTCTCACACTCAAAGCACATGTACTCTCTCACACCAGAGTGTATTTTCTCATGTATTTGTAAAGTTTGCCGCCGTGAGAAACTCTTACCACAAACAGAACATGAATGTGGCCTCTCCTTCGTATGAACTGTCAGGTGTGCCTTCAGGATTGATGCCCTAATAAATGTTTTGCCGCATTGCTTACATGTGAACGGCTTCTCTCCAGTGTGGATTCTCATGTGTCGCTTAAGATTTTCTTTGTGTAGGAAACTCTTTTCACACTGATTACATGTGAAGGACTTCTCTCCTGTGTGAATCATCATGTGACTCTTAAGGTTTCCTGGTCGGATAAAACTCTTCCCACACTGATCGCATACATGCGGCCTCTCTCCTGTGTGAACTCTCATGTGAATCTCTCGACTTTTTTCTCGTCTGAAACTCATTCCACATTGATCACAAGTGAACGGCTTCTCACCTCTGTGGATCATCATGTGTTCTTTAAGGACCCTTGATCGGGTGAAACTCTTCCCACATTGATCACACTTAAACAGCTTCTCTCCAGTATGAACTTTCATGTGAGCATCAAGATTTTGTTTGTGTGGGAAATATTTTCCACATTGTTCGCATACATACGGCTTCGCTCCAGTGTGGATCCCCATGTGCCCTGTAAGACCTGATTTTTGTGTGAAGCTCTTCCCACATTGATCACATGTGTACGGCTTCTCTCCAGTATGAATTCTCATGTGAACATGAAGATATTGTTTGTAAGGGAATCTCTTTTCACACTGATCACACTTGAACGGCTTCTCTCTGGTATGAACTCTTGCATGAATTTCAAGACCTTGTTTTTTTGAGAATCTCTTCCCGCACTGATCACATGTGAACGGCTTCTCTCCTGTGTGGATCCTCATGTGCATTTTTAGACCACATTTCTTTGAGAAACTCATCCCACACTGATCACAAGTGAAGGGCTTCTCTCCTCTGTGGATCTTCATGTGTTCTTTAACGTTTCTTAATCGGGTGAAACTCTTCCCACATTGATCACACTTAAACGGCTTCTCTCCAGTATGAACTTTCATGTGAGCATCAAGAGTTTGTTTCTGTGTGAAATAGTTTCCACATTTTTCACATACATACGGCTTCACTCCAGTGTGGATCCTCATGTGCAGCGTAAGACCTCTATTTAGTGTGAAGCTCTTCCCACATTGATCACATGTGTACGGCTTCTCTCCAGTATGAATTCTCATGTGATCATGAAAATATTGTTTAGTAGAGAATCTCTTTTCACACTGATCACACTTGAACGGCTTCTCTCCAGTATGAACTCTTACGTGAATTTCAAGACCTTCTTTCCTTGAGAATCTCTTCCCGCACTGATCACATGTGAACGGCTTCTCTCCTGTGTGGATCCTCATGTGAATCTCTAGACTAGATTTCCTTGAAAAACTCTTCCCACACTGATCACAAGTGAACGGCTTCTCTCCTGTGTGGATCCTCATGTGCATATTTAGACCATATTTCCTTGAGAAACTCATCCCACACTGATCACAAGTGAACGGCTTCTCTCCTCTGTGGATCTTCATGTGAAGCTTTAGTTTATATTTCCTTGAAAAACTCTTTCCACACTGAGTGCAGGTTATAGATTTCTTCACGCTCGTTTTCTTTAAAAATGTTTTTTTAGTCTTTGATCGACTCAACTGTTTTTCTCCAGGTTTGACATGAAGTTCCTCCTCCACTTCACTCTCCTCATTCTCTTCCATCAGGTCTGAAATGAAAGAGAAAATTTCCTTTTCAGTACATCAAAATAATTCAAAAAGAGGATCATGAAGTGAAAGGCCATTAAAGTGAGCCCTGGAGTAACAAAGTAGACAAATGCTATAAAATGTTATGATCAGGGGCGTTTCCTCTGAGGAGGCAAGGGAGGCAGTGTCGCCTAAAAAAAACTAGATGAGAAAATAATAGATATAACACAAAAGTAAAAACGCAAATATTTAAAAATGTGACATTAAAAAGTGTAAAATTCGCTTGTTTTTAAAAAGTAACTGTCCAACAGCGACGCCTTCAGGTGAAGTTACAGCAGGACGCCGCGTCTCTCTTGCCTCCCCTGAGCCCATTGAGTTTTAACAGACCCTATAAAGCATGGGCTGGGGTTAATGGGGGTAATTGAGAATGAAAGTAATTGGGGGAATGTCATGCAAGACCTCCATTGCGCTGTGATTGTATATAATAATAATAGTAATAATTAATTACATTTATATAGCGCTTTTCTAGGCACTCAAAGCGCTTCACATAGAAGGGGGGATCTCCTCAACCACCACCAATGTGCAGCATCCACTTGGATGATGCGACGGCAGCCATATTGTGCCAGAATGCCCACCGCACACCAGCTTACTGGTGGAGAGGAGACAGAGTGATAAAGCCAATTAGTGTATATGAGGATGATTAGGAGGCCATGATGGACAGAGGCCACTGGGCAAATTTGGCCAGGATGTCGGGGTTACACCCCTACTCTTTCGAAAGACATCCTGGGATTTTTAATGATCGCAGAGAGTCAGGGCCTCGGTTTAACGTCTCATCCGAAGGACGATGCTCTTTGACAGTACAGTGTCCCCGTCACTATACTGGGGCGTTAGGACCCACACAGACCACAGGGAGAGCGCCCCCTACTGGCCTCACTAACACCTCTTCCAGTAGCAACCTGGTTTTCTCAGAAGGTCTCCCATCCAGGTACTAACCAGGCTCAGCCCTGCTTAGCTTCAGTGGGCAACCAGTCTTGGACTACAGGGTGATATGGCTGCTGGCAACTCGGTTATATGATCAGTTATTATTGGTTCTGGTGATAATTCCCACCACTTGTATTCGTGCACATTCTCATCGGTCTGACTGAAGACATTGCGTTAATGGGAAGACTAATTAAAGAGTAAGTAAACACCTCAAGTCAAAATCATACTTGAAATGGCTTGAAAACATGATCGTGGATTTTTTTTTTAGTGAGCAAACAGCTTGGAGAAATTAACTATACATCTTCATTTCTGTGACCACCAGTGTGAACAAGCTTGATGACTGATGACAATAAGTTGACAATTAAAAAGAAAAGCTGAACATTAGTTCACAAATAATATTAAAAATCGGTTAAATTGTTACTGCCTTTAGTTATTATTTTGGAATAAATGTAAAAATGTGTAAAATCACCAACTTGATGAAATGTTTTATGGGTTTTTTATGGGTTCTCACTTTACGAGAAGATTTCTGCTGATATTTCACCAGTATCGGCATTGCTCGTCTCTGCGCAAGACACTGTCACTCAGTCCAGTTACACTGTTACGACACTAGGTAGCGGCAAGGGCCTGTCTTTGAGTGAGTCATTAAACTGTTCATTCAACGGAAATGTAAAAAAATGCGGATTCATTCTAAGATATACACTCACCTAAAGGATTATTAGGAACACCTGTTCAAGTTCTCATTAATGCAATTATCTAATCAACCAATCCCATGGCAGTTGCTTCAATGCATTTAGGGGTGTGGTCCTGGTCAACACAATCTCCTGAACTCCAAACTGAATGTGGGAATGGGAAAGAAAGGTGATTTAAGCAATTTTGAGTGTGGCATGGTTGTTGGTGCCAGACGGGCCGGTCTGAGTATTTCACAATCTGCTCAGTTACTGGGATTTTCACGCACAACCATTTCTAGGGTTTACAAAGAATGGTGTAAAAGGGGAAAAACATCCAGTATGCGGCAGTCCTGTGGGCGAAAATGCCTTGTTGATGCTAGAGGTCAGAGGAGAATGGGCCGACTGATTCAAGCTGATAGAAGAGCAACTTTGACTGAAATAACCACTCGTTACAACCGAGGTATGCAGCAAAGCATTTGTGAAGCCACAACACACACAACCTTGAGGCGGATGGGCTACAACAGCAGAAGACCCCACCGGGTACCACTCATCTCCACTACAAATAGGAAAAAGAGGCAACAATTTGCACAAGCTCACCAAAATTGGACAGTTGAAGACTGGAAAAATGTTGCCTGGTCTGATGAGTCTCGATTTCTGTTGAGACATTCAGATGGTAGAGTCAGAATTTGGCGTAAACAGAATGAGAACATGGATCCATCATGCCTTGTTACCACTGTGCAGGCTGGTGGTGGTGGTGTAATGATGTGGGGGATGTTTTCTTGGCACACTTTAGGCCCCTTAGTGCCAATTGGGCATTGTTTAAATGCCACGGCCTACCTGAGCATTGTTTCTGACCATGTCCATCCCTTTATGACCACCATGTACCCATCCTCTGATGGCTACTTCCAGCAGGATAATGCACCATGTCACAAAGCTCGAATCATTTCAAATTGGTTTCTTGAACATGACAGTGAGTTCACTGTACTAAAATGGCCCCCACAATCCCCAGTTCTCATCCCAATAGAGCATCTTTGGGATGTGGTGGAACTGGAGCTTTGTGCCCTGGATGTGCATCCCACAAATCTCCATCAACTGCAAGATGCTATCCTATCAATATGGGCCAACATTTCTAAAGAATGCTTTCAGCACCTTGTTGAATCAATGCCACGTAGAATTAAGGCAGTTCTGATGGCGAAAGGGGGTCAAACACAGTATTAGCATGGTGTTCCTAATAATCCTTTAGGTGAGTGTATGTAATGAAACAAGCTGTTAATTATTTTAAAGTGGTGGTAAAATGCCATTTTCACAAGATGTAAAATAAATCTCTGATGTCCCCAGAGAGTGTGTGTGTGAAGTTTTAGCACAAAATACCCCCCAGATATTTTTATATAGCATGTTAAAGTTGTCACTTTTTGAGGGTTTGCCAAAACGCACCGTTTTGTGTCTGGCCCTTTAAATGCAAATGAGCTGCAGCAGAGGGCGCGGTTTCAAGAGCGTGTGTGTGTTAGCAGCTGCGATTACCTCACGCAGACACACTAAACTGACAGAAACTGTTCTGCCTTTAACCCTCTGGGGTCTGAGGTGTTTTTGGGGTCCTTGAGATGTTCTGGTATGCCCTGACATTTGTGCTTTTTTCAGGTGCTTAGAAACATATTAATGGCACTGGTGAAATTACACTCTATTTAGCACAAACAGGGCTACCATAATATGTTAGCAACATGTATGTACATGTTTGTATTTTTGAGAGAATATTGTTTATGCATGGTTATTGAAAAAACTAAAAAATAAAGTTTCTGAAATAAGGGCACAAAACACACACTAAATATGTGTCCACAAGACTTTTGACTAATGGATGTTGTCGCCTAGAGTTTAGGCTTCAAAATGATCTGAAAATCATCCTGTCTAATCATTCACATAAAACAATAGATTGTTTTAAATTGTGAAAAACATTTTTTTGTTTGCAAAGGCAATATGCGGATGGGGGTGAACTGCCCAACCCCCTCATGAATAATTAAGTGGTTCTCACCTGAGCAGACAATGACCCTGCATAATAATGAACCTTTCATTCAGGGGTGTCACAAAAGAAGAATGCAAGGACAATATATAAATAAATAACTATATATATATATATATATATACATATACAAACAATCAAAATATAAATGAAAGCCAAAAGCACATTTTTAGTCATACCTGGAAACAAATCCTGGTCAAATGGCTATATGGGCCATTCTACGGAATTGGTTCAAAGTTTGAGTTGGAAACATCTTGAAAATAAAATTGTCTTTTTCCATAAATGTCTTATAAAGTATTGTTTTTTAAAGTAGGCCAATACATTTTATCATACATATTTCAAAGTTAAGGATTCATTATTTTGATATAGCTTGCATTGGAACAAACACTATAAGGGTGTACTCACACTAGCCAGTTTGAACCGTGCCCGAGTGCGTTTGACCACCAAAACGCGGTTCGTTTGACTAGTGTGAGTGCTCCGAACCGTGCCCGGCCGCGGCTCGATTAGCCGGCCCTGGCCCGCTTGGAAGAGGTGGGCCAGAGCACGGTTCAGTTGGACTCGGGCGCGGTTCGCATGCAGTGTGAGCGCTAACCGTGCTGGAGCACGGAACAGGACGCGTGGCGTCATGGTTTTGCGACGCTCCAAAACCAACACAGTCCGTAATCAAAGCTGCAAAGTCCTTGCTGCACTTCAGCTGGTACCTTGCAAACCTCCTCATACGAGCAGCACGATTACGTGAAAATTTTCGCGCCACTAAGGTGACGCATCTGTTTAACAACAGGCTGTGGACCACCGTGGACCAAACGACACAAAATTATCCACAAAGAAAACAGAGCGATGGACTTCATTGTGTTCAGAGAGCGCCGCTCTTCTTGTTTATCCCGAAACCGTCGCACGCACCATAATGACGTAAGCGTGCTCCGGCACGAATGCTGAAACCCTATGTGAGTGCAGGCCAGAGGGGGAGTGGGGAGGGGGGACAATCGTACTTGGGCCCGGTTCATGGCAACCGTGCCTAGTGTGAGTACACCCTAACAGTTGATTAGTTTATTTGTGACAAAACATACTATATATTTAACATATGAGCAGAAACGGTCTAACAAAAGCTTATTTGATGTCTATTTTATAGCCTAAAAACTTTATAATCTATCCAAAATTAGTCAACGAAATGTTGTCATTACAGACACTAGTATATCGCGATTAGAAGAAATCTCAGTAGGCTATAGCAATATAGTTTGGATGTCTTCATGTAAAAATAACATTTACTAATGTACAGTAGGTAGTCAACCAGAATGCCTATTACAGCCGCGGCAAATCCACCGCCGTAAAAATAAACCAGTCGCATTTCAAAGTCGTTCGCAAAATGACCGCCAAGTGGCGCAAAGGGACATTTAGCAAAACGTAAGTGGGGCAATTAACAGTAAGGATGAAATACTACAAGTTATGGTAATTTCCAAATAAGCCAACAACAAACATTTATTTTTAAACAAAAATTTTTAAATATGCAACATGTACGTTTAAACAACAAACAATACAATCTGAACCAGCGCAACTATTGAGTCATGCAGCGCGTTTCAGTTACGATCCTGGTTCCAGTGGCCTTAATACATTCACGGCTTTTTTAAATGACACAAAGCGTTTTGAGATGGTTTTGAATTAAATATTGAAGTTTATAATTAGGATATTTTGGCACATCACGGAGTGGCGCTATGCATTATTCTAAAATCTGGCTTTATTCTGGCATGTTGAATTAGATTTTGACAAACGCGGCGGCGCGTTAATTTGAATTTATTTTTCTCATAACAGCTAAGAACTTAATAGGCTATAGCCTACTGCGTAATTGTTGGTCATACAGATAAGATATCATCTTTTAAAACTGTAAAAGGTCTATTATTCATGTAGTAGGCTATAGGCCTACACTCACAGGCTAACGACAAAACGTTTTCTCGCTCATGTGAGAAACAAACGTTTGGGCAATTCTCAGTGAGTAAATTCATAGCCGAGCGGTAGAACTTACGGTTCGATCATCAAGATGACACGGGTTCAAATCCCGAACAAACATGATCTACTGTAAATTGTATATTCATTAATGCAGAGAGATTTGTCTAGCTCTAAAACTATGTTACACCATACAGTTTTTTGCTTATATTTATAAAATAAAATTACCATGCATTTCCATTTTACACTAAGGAACATAGTAGGCTATCCAACAGAACGACTTTGCATCTGTATAATAATAGGCTACCAATCGTAATTTCAAAAGCAGTTCTGTTAAAATTTTTTTTTTTATATATAGGCTATATATATATATATATATATATATTTTTTTTTGGATTCCCTACAACCTAGAGTTTTTAAAAACATGGTTTTAAGTAAAGTGTGATTTGCCAGGGGGGACGGGGATTTCCTTCTGGTCTAAACATCCCTGCTTCTGCTGAATTATTTTAATCCCCACACCCCTCCCTCCACAGTAATCAATGCTAGGCTAGGCTACTTCACCAATAGACCATATCAAATATATAAAATAGAGATATGCAACAGGCACGTTTAAACGACAAACAATAAAATCAAAACCAGTGTTTCAGTTGTTCATTAGTTCAAGTGGCCTTAATGCATGCACGGCTTTTCAAATTTCACAAAGCGTTTTGAGATTATTTTGAATGAAATATTGAAGTTTATAAGTGTTTTGGCACACCACGCCGAGTGGCCCTATGCATTTTTCTAAAGTCGGGTTTTATTCTGGCATGTTGAGTTAGTGTTCGACAAACGCGGCGGCGCGTTCATTTAGATCTATTTATTTTTCTCATTACAGCTAAAATAGCTTAATAGGCGACTCCGTAATTTTTTGGTCATACAGATAAGAGTAGATTAGCTTACATCGTTCAAAACTGTAAACTTGTATTCATACTATTAGGCTAACGACAAAAGTTTATCTGTCGTCTCTGTCTCCGGGAACTGCGCGTCACAAAAATGAACCGAAAGCCACTTCAGCTCAGTCACGATAAGAAATCGGCTATGTCTAAAGCCTTTAAATGTCTAAATATTTAGGCTAATAAATGTTATCTGATTATGTAATCCATATGAAAACGAGAGGTACAGAGGATCTACTCAAACATGCAATGTAAGCGCTTCCCAATGAGAAAATGACAAGACAAGGGTGAAAATCTTGCTCTAATTATGTAGGCTAAATCGCCCTGAATTAAAATGTAAAAACAGATCAAATAATTTATTTGTCGAAATGTTGCGATACTGTTTCATTTAAGTTCATAATTATTCTAAAAATGTTATTTAATTTAGCAGCATTACCACGAAGCACCGTGGTTCGATATTTATTTGAATAATACAAAAAAAAAATATCTTAATTAATTGCATGCCTGGTTGTAAGGATCCAAAGATCCCTGTAGAATTGAATATTGAGTTGAACATTTTGTTCATGACAACACATTAACATGCGTTTTTTCAGATTATATTTAGTTTTGCTTGGAAAAAGCTGGCTTTGATTTTATTTAATCAATTATTGAAATAATGAAATATTTAGTAATAAACTTTTATGACATAAATATCACTAGGCTACATGTAACTTAAATCATTTAATTCCTTCATTATCAACACTGTCTAGAATAGCGATTTAAGTGTGAATTGCGACTTCTCTTTGTGTTAAGTCAGCCTCAGACTTAGAGAGCCGGTGGGGGGTTGGAGGGACAGTTCAGTTGCTGGACAAAGGTGTTAATGTTCCTCTTTCATATGGAGAGTGTCGGATAGCCAGCCGATGAGCAGGCAAAATTATTGTAAGGATAAATTTCTCGATGTGTCCAAATGTAGGCCCCATATCTTATTAAATTATAAATATTGTAGTTTATTTATTGTAGCCTATTTAAATTTTTTTTTTTCACACAAAATTTCAATTGAAGTTATTGTAAGGTGAATTCAACAAGGCATGCTGTGTCTTTGAAGCAACAATTAAAGGCTAAATATTTTTTTCGTGATTTGTATGGCTGACACGCAGCGACATATACAGTATTATCAGCTGTATGATGTGTTTTTACCCTGAAATGTTTAATTTCGAGAGAGACCCGGCACGCGCAGCGAGGGAGACTAAATAAACTTGCTAAAAAGAGATTAATTAAATTTAATTATGTTGCTTTGGACAATTTTCGTTTTGTACTGTTTTAATTGTTTAATTTAGCTGAAATTTCTTTGGCAATACAAATTTAAAATGTCGCAAGAATAAGATTAGCCTAGTGTTTCTTATTTTGCATCGCAAAAGAAATAAACTCTAAACTCGATGCAACCCTGTTTTAAAAAAAAAATAAAAAACTGTCCCGCCACTTTATTTAAACCTTGAAATGTTCGAACTTGGTTTCAAACTTAAGTCATTTTAGTGTTCTTTTACATTACACAATAATTTAGCAGACTAAAGACGAGCTTCTTCATTTTCATTTTCTGATGCAATCGGCTGCCAATCTTCCTTCATCAGTTTGTGTCGTTTGTGCAGCGGCTGCGGTTCTACAGGAATGTAGCAAATGTATGTTGTAATGATAATTAAACAAAACTCTTGACTTTAAATAAGTAAACAGTTATAAACAGTTACCTATTTAAGCATCAAGGTGGTAAAATATAAACGCTGTCGGCCAACATCATGTATGCTACATTGAGATTCGATCTCGGGTCCATTGAAGCTCGTGTTGTTGCATTGACCACTGAGCTACCGTCTGTACGCTGTTAAGGTTAACGTCTTATGCTCTTGCAAAGCCTCATTGATGTAGCCTAAATGTTTTTATTGCAATGTTTTATGTTGAAATGTTTTCATTATTTATTCAATTTAATTTTAGTAGCCTAATTTCAGTATTGTGATTATTATTTTAACAACGTTTCACTTGAATTCATCTGCTACCAGCTTTCAATCGCTCTGAATGAGCCGCGGCGCGGCAGCAGATTACGCAATAGAGAGAATAAACGAACACTTTTCAGAGTCTATGATTGTAGCGCCTCTTAGCGGTAAAAGGCAGCAAATACACCCCACATTTTACCGCCGCGGTGGAACGGCTGATGTGGGCGTTGTCATGGCTTGCCTCAACATTTGCGTTTGAATAGCGCGCGTCCTCCGTGGGCGTGTCACATTAACGCGTAATGAAGTGTAATGAGCTGGGAAAAAAAATCTTTCATACAGATTACATAAACTGAGAATATTTGTTTTTTATATAAATTACTTCATTGAAAAGAAGAGAATTCAAGCTTCATAAAGAAAAATCTCTCGTGCCTGTATGACAAGTATTTGCGGAGTTATAGTTAATTTTAGGACGCGTTTCAGAATGGAATGCACTGACAGAGAGATGGCAAAACTCGCATCATGTTTATTTTTCTTTATTTGACAAAAAGCACAACACTTTGTTTTTATTGTGAATATACAGAAAAATAATAGACACTTAACAGGATCGATTGATGTATAACACTTATATTTAAGATCAAAATCAACAGAGTATTTTGAGTCTCTTTTGCACTGATAAGAAAAAAAGCGAGACAATCGCGCCGGCGCGATAGCCGACCCCGGGGGGTTAATGTTAAAACGGAGCCAGACAATGATGGAGAGACTCAAGACGTGACAACATGTAGAAGCAACAGGACGT